CTCACAGCCCCCCCGAGGAGCCCCTTCGCCTCCCCGGCAGCGGAGCAGAAGCGCGTCCCTTCTGCCTGGCCGTCGCCCCTCCGGCTGGGCTCTCTGAACAGCATCCCACCGCCTCCTGTCACTCTCCTGTCCTGGGCTGCTGCTCTGGGAAATGCCGAGCTATTGAGCTGGTTTGGACTGTTCCCGTAGGGAATCATAGAATCATTATGGTTGGAAGAGACCTCAAAGATCAAGTCCAACCGTATACCTGATGCCACCGTGTCCACTAAACCATGTCTTGAAGTACCCCATCTAAACCTTTTTTGAACACCTCCAGGGACGATGACTCCACCACCTCCCTGGGGAGCCCGTTCCAATGCCTGACAACTCTAACAGTGAAGAAAAAGTTCAGTTCGGTCTGTTCCAGATCAATAGCGATGCAAGGGTCCTCTCCCTGCTGAGGCAACATCAGCCCCTATTTGGGGAGGTGCAGTCTCAGCCGAAGGAGGAAACGCTTGAACCCTGGGAGGTGGGAAAATGATGGAGCTAGTGGAGACAGGAGATCGCTCATTCGTGAGAGGGATGCAGAGGTGCAGAGCTCAGAGGTGGCTTATCTGTGGTCTCGGCATGGTGACCTCTCAAGACAGGGTCCTGTCCTGCCTGGGGAGGGTGAAACAGGTCAAGCCTGCCCAGACTTGCACATCAGAGCTGAATCAGCTCCCAGCCCTTGGAAGCTCTGCTTGGCCCATTGGGAGGGAAGGACTAGCTGCTCGGGGAACCTGAGTGATTTTAAATATACGCTCTGCTGAGGGGCCTGAATACAATGGTTTGACCATACAGCTGTTATTCCCAGAGCAGTCTCATAGCTGTGCTGCATCTATTTTTGTGGGTCCCCAAGGAATGTTCCTCCGGCCATTTCTAGCAAATTAGTCACAGTGACAGCCGAGGAGTGCTCTGGGAACAGTGTACTTAGCAGAAACATTCAGCTGTTCAAACTTGTCCAGCTGTATAAGATGACTATTGCCCATTTACATATTGCATTTTCCTAGTAAATTGTTACTTTTTTGCCTAAGGCAAAGCATAGTACTTGGAAATCCTTGGCTGAGGAGGTGATTAGGCAGGGACGTGATTGGCACATAGACTGATTTTTTTTTTTTTCTTTCTACTTCTGTAAAATCTTGTCCACTGCTCTTTTTACCCACCAGTAAATCTCCTTCCCTTCACTATGACTTATGCTTAAGAGTTCCTCCTGTGTGCAGCCTGCCCTGCTTTTTGCCAGTGCATACTCTGCTTATTAAAGTTACTCCTCAAAGCCCAGCAATACACACACTGTGTGTATGTGTATATATCCTTGGGGGACATCAAGAGCTAATTACACCAGATGCAACTGGTGTTAAACAGCACCGTAAGTGAAGTCAACATCACAGGAATGACAAAAGATGGGCCACCTAATACCACTAAACAAAAAAGGCTGGCTCTGCTTGCTGAAAGAGAGGCACAAGCTTAAACTCTGCTAAATGGTAAATAGAAGTATTGGTCTCTATTTTAATGCAATAAGCAGTGGGTCCCAATGAAGCAACCTGAAGTTAGTGTTCGTACCAAGGCTTTTATCAGTTTGCAGCTCAGTCACAGAGTCTCAGCAGAAGTCTTTCATGTCCGTGCGCAGAGACCCTGTGTGAGCCAAAGCAAATAAGGTGCCGTCTCTGGGCTGCGGTGCAGTCTGTGTAACACACACTGACCTACTGTCCAACCTGCTGTCATGACACGTTCATCCCATCACGGGACTAATATGTTCAGTATTCCTGCTAGGACTGCTGCACGATGAAAGCAGGCTGAAATCTGATTCAGGCTGCCCTCACCCTCTGCTTACTTCTCATGTTGTTGTTTCTCAGTTGCCTGCTAACTTGGATAATAAAGACAGAGCAGAACGACCGAACAGCTAGGTCTGAGAATTGACTGCTCGGTAGTTGTAAGCGTTATTGACTTGCAACTTTCTGCTGCGTTTTTGCAAGGACCACCTGAACTCTACAGGTCTCACCAGAGCTGGGTGTGTGATGCGCCCTGGCCTTCAGAGCCCCTCTAAAAGCACAGGACCAAGCACCTTCCCACAGCAACTCCTTGCAGGACAGTAAATTTACACAAATTTGCCTCACTGTTTTTATGATATAAATCATGGGTGTAAGGCAGCTTGTCCTTGTACTTTGCCTGCTGGCTTGATTTTCAGGGCTTTTTTTTTTTTTTTGTGTGTGTGTGTGTGTGTGTGTGTGTGTGTGTGTTCAAGTTTCTCAGTTATTAGGCTTACCTTGCACTTTCTGCCTGGCTGTTCAGAATAAGAAGCCCTTTCCTCCTACCTCTCCTGCCTGGTTCTGCTGTGCACTTGGAACCTCTTGCCCAGCTAAGCTGGAGGCCACCATCACCGCAGGTAGCCAGAGACATTTCCCAGTGAGATGGAAGACATGGGTTTGAATCCCTTCAGACAGCAGATGGATGTGAACCTTAGTCTTCAATGAAGCTACTTAGACCGGAATTTTAAAAAGCCCTTCTCAAAGAAACAAGGTAGAAGGCTAGTCAGCTAGACAGGAGAACAGAGTGGTAATGTTTGCCCTCCTTGATTTGTCTCATTATGTGAAATCAATATTGGGAAAGTAGTCTATAATTTGTAATGCGGCAACCTTCCTTTCTCCCACCCCTTCCCAAAGCCAACTGCAAATAAAGTTGATAGTCCAAAGGCTGGGTTTATTTCTTGGAGACTGTTTCCTGCTGCGCATTTGTGCAGTAAAGCAGACACTGCTGCTGCCTCCTGAATGGGGGCAAATAGTTCTTGGGGATGTAGATTACTGTCTGTTAGTTAACAGCCCCCCTTTTTTTTTTTTTTTGACAAAGGGATTTTTGTACAAGACCTCCTGCTGGTCATGCTGATTTGATGAGCGTTTGCACCCTAAATGTCACGTCTCCTTCTAGAGAGCACTTAAAACAAGCAAAGCAAACAAAGTCCTCAAACCTTTTCTTACATAGGTGTTCCTGGACTTTTGTACAATTCCCTGGCGTTTAACTGCTGACTGGCAAGTCCAGTGCCTGACCCAGGAAACTAAAAACCTGATTAGATAGTCAGCTGCTAATGCCACCAAACTCCAAGGGACTGTGGAGTTTAAACTCTTACGGGATGGTGTTTTCCTGACAGAGGTAGGTTGACATGCAGAGCCAGGAGTAACGCAGGGTAGAGGTGTTTGAGCTTCCCTGCCCCTAGTGAATGTCTGCTGTGGCAGAGTGAATTATTTCATGAGCCTACTGTTGTATTGCCAGCATTCAAGTTTCTTCCATCCCAGCAAAAACTCAGGAAAGAGCCTCAGCTGCGTGTCTGCCGAGGGATCAGCTCTGTTGACAGTATTTACTTTCTTTGTAAAGGCTCAATTCCCTCTGCTCTTCAGAGACAAATGAACGGGAAAAACATTTTGCTCCATGTGTCTATAAACCAGGAGGTTCTGTTTGATGAATTAGCCACTGCAGTGGTCTCTGTGGGCACAAGGCTTTTCAGTCACTTTCTATCATGACTCCATCCTAGCTACAGTCAGCCACATGTACAAACTGCAGGAAAATTACTTTGTTTTGGTGTTGCCTGTGGGAACAGGAGCAAGAGTAGCAACCATCTGCCCTTGTGTTAGGATGCTCTGCATGCAAACTCAACTTTTCCAGACCCTGCTTGGCAAATACTAAGTATTTTTTAGGTACTCAGTTATCTTCATCCCAACTTCAGTCTTTCCCCCCGCCCCCCATCTCTAAAGCCATAGGAGACACTGTTCTCAAGTCAAGTCAGCTGTTCTGGTTATCTGCAATAGTGTTTTCAATAGCAGTACCTTCATTGTGGTATCGAAATGCCTCTCAGGAAGTGATTTTTTTCAGTAAGTTTTGCAAGTATTACTGCTACCGGAGTCAGGCAATAGAATTCCTGTATAGAAATGGGAACTGCTCTGTGCCACATGCCTGGCCTGAGCTGACAGCCCTTTGCAGATCGCTTTTACACTGACTCTTCAATTTCATTACCTTTTAATTGTGAAATATCACCATATAAGGAAAACCTAACACAGTTCACTGATTGTCCAGTTGGCTACAGGTATTTCGTTTATCACTCACTGGCAGATACGCTCCTGAGCTCTGACTTGTCTGTTCATGTTCTTAGGGCCATCAAATAGTGAAGGAGCTGGCAAAGTCAGCCTCTTGAAGAAAGTACCAGCACTAAAGGACGGAGACTTCACTCTAGCAGAATGGTAAGAACTCACTCCTTAGACTTCCTTGGGTACCAGTAATCTGTGCAGCATTTG